CATTACACCTCTTTTTTCCCAAATTTCAACTCCATTTGGAAATTTGGAAATTTGGGAAAAAATCCGGGACCGTTCCCGGATTCAACTTTGTATCCCATAAATGATCAGATATTCATTGTTGAGCCCTTGGTCATAACCTTCCATCTTGCTCGGTTACACTTTATTCAGGTGATGATGACCAATCATATCATATGACCATGGATATGATATGCTTGGTCATGGTTTGCACGTTCTATCAGCAAGTGTATGAACTTTAAAGACACATGCAGGAAGGGTATGATACCCAGTTCAAAATGGTTTGTTCATGACAAATCTCAAGTCATCCAGTATTGTTCTCCTTTGAGTTCGATATCGTTGTCCTTCAATTCTACTGGCACCACAGATCTTCTATCACATTATGAAGCGCGTGATGCTGATGGTGTCCACAAACGCCCATCGTCAGATCCATCAGATCCTGCAGAACCATCAGAACAATCAGTTTCCTCAGATTATTCCGATTTTTCGGAAGCGGATCTGATTTATCTACCTTGCAAACAGCCAGGCTGGCTCAGCTGGAAAAGAATTTGACCATTGTTCACACCCGACTCCTTATCAGCTTTGGACTTCAAGCCGGTACTAAACGTTAAATGGGGTTATTATATGAAATGCCAACAGGCGCGAAGAAAAGCTGATGGCGCAGTGGTGGCTATGAAGGGATATGAACCTAGTAATGATGTAGAAGAACGAAAGAACTTCGCCAAGTTGATAAATGAACGTATTATTATTTTGGAAACGCTAAATCATGCCGGCTTTCCAACTTATCTTGGCCATTTTCTAGACAAATACCGCATCAATCTAGTCTTCGCTTACGATCATGATACACCAAATCTAGAACACCTCGCAGGCGAGCGAAACATCTCGGAAGCTGAAGCATGTCATTACGCACTACAACTCGCCGAAGCGTTGGACCACGTCCATGGCCACGGTGCCATCTTGCGTGCATTCAATGCTTTTGGGATAATATGCAATCCGGGGTACCACATACAACTAGTGGAGCTCGACAGTTGTACTCTCCTGGACTCGAATGGGATGTCTTCTGGGGAATTTGGTGAATCCGAAGGTCGAGCGCCCGAAATGTTAGGGGGAGGCCAGTATGGAACATCTGTGGACTGGTGGTGTCTCGGGATATTGTTGTATTACTTATCCACGTATCGCAAGGCATTCCATCCGAGTAAGTGTCTGATTCATTCATGCTATACATTCATATAGCTAAAGCTCTGCTTTGGCATCCACTTAGGCATGCATCCCAACTGCTCAGACAACCCGATTATCACCTGTGATCTCAAATTCCCTCGCACGATGTCAGCAACCATGTGCGACACAATTTCGCTCTTTTTGAAGAAAGATCCAAAGGAACAAATATCTTCCTTGGCCGAATTGCAAGCGTTACCCATGTATTCCAACATTTGGCCGCCAAGGGCAACGAACAAGCTATTTTGGGGTTGATATGTGGCGATGGAGTCCAAAAACCTTCAGTGTGTTTTCCATTTAGCCAGTTTCGAATTACACCATTGATTTGATGAAGGACCTCATGTTTTTTAATGTCCTTTTTCATAGTTAGAAGCTACTTCAATCGGCGTCAATTAATGATATTACTAACAAACAAGAGTCATATGATATCTGTTAGATTACTTTTACAATTGGGCCATCTTCTGTTTACTTTGACTATAAATATATAACGCTTCTACCCTACAACGGTTGTACTTTCACTCATCTTCATGATGAGGATGCTATTCTCCCTGTTAAAAATACACAATTCAAACAATCAGACGTGGAATGAGTTGGTTAATTGTTCAACATAGTCACATAAATGACTATGTTGTGATACGATGGTTTGAGAAGTTCTACTGAAGAATTTATTTCCTGACTGGTGTGGACATTGAGACACGTGGGCCTGTGTCAGACGGACGAATGATTCATATTGTTTTGGCGGATGAGCCCAAACAGCCCCAACCGTATGTCCCTGAGGTGGCCAAGGGGGTGAATCGTGAAGTCAATTCAACGCCGCGGCTTCAGGGCTCTCCATATCCAGGCGAGGCGTCATCTATGTTCCCTGTGATGGTTTTCCCATCACACCTTTTTTTTCTCTCCTCTAAATAGAGGCTATTTACTTTTTTAGTCTTCCCATTAGTTTCCTTGATCCTGCATTGATAACCATGTATGCTGTTGCATCATACCAACGTCGACACACATCGAAGGCATCTCTAACTTCGCAAAAATCGCATCCTGCCAAACCAGATGCCATCAACTTTCACATCGCTAGAGTCACTGGTTAGCCTTCATCCAGATACTCCCAGTCTCTCTTCCCATCTCACTTTAAATGCGTTATTATTTAGGTCAAGAACTTCCACCACAGCACCCCACCAGATATCCTGCGCAACCGGCCAGGCCAAACAAGCAAAGCTCTGGTAAGTATTTGTTGTTTTCTTTCGTAGATATGACTTGAAGTTTATTGCTTCGTCCTCAAAATGGAATGTGCGACTTCTCCAACAGACCAAGTCGACATCAACCATGATCCTATCAACACAAAGGATGTAAGTAACTGCTTGACCAGTCTCTTCATGTGATTCACATGTTTCTTTCTCATCCCCATCATTTCGTCCTTATCCCCTAATCATGATGGATGGCCAGACATAGTAGATGTCGGCCACTCAGTCCATACAACATGATATCTCATCTTATTCCTTTTGAATTTCCTTTTTTTTCTCAATGTTTGACCGCATTGGATGGCAAGTCATAGTAAATGACCACCTACCAATTTGAAATTTCACTTCCATTATATTTCATCCATCATTATATCAGAATCGAGTCATGGTACATGCCGTACCAAACCATCATTCACTAACAACATTTCCATGTTGAACATTACAGGATCAACATTGCAATATTGCGCCAGTTTCACAAAACTCCAAAAGACGAAAGAAAGCTATTGAAACATACGTGACATATCATATAGGACAAAAGCCCTTCTATCACAGTGTTTGTCAAGTGTTCAAAGAGACTAAATTCAGCACGCGTGCTATAGTCAAATTGGCCAATCAGTCATCAACCTTCACGTGTTACAAAGGCTTATGTATCATCACGGACCGGAACAATGGGGCTATAATTGCAATCATCAAATTCACCCCGTTCGATAGCATGTCTCAAGATGAATTGGAAGAACTCAAAGAAGTCTTGAAATACCTTGTGGAAGAAAAAATTTACTGTAATCCGGTGACTTTGAATGCCGCTATGAAAGGAGGTTACATGGGGGTCATAGGATGGCGGGCAGCGTTCATGACATTAGAGTATTACGGTATGTATTGAAACTGGAATACACTCTTCATCCTGTGGGTACAACTGATATGACTTGGTATCATCTTACAAGGCCTCTATGCTCCCCGACAATTTATTCAAGACAACAAAGACCTCTTGGATCAAGGGGGAAACGCTTGCCTTTTCGCGTAAGGCTTGAAGCGTTTTACGCATGACAATACTCATACTTATCCGAGCACTTTTTCAAACAAGCTCAAGACCAGATGAAACCTTTAAAGATACCTTCCTTTGGCCAACTTCATTCCACCGAGCCGGGTGAAGGGACTGCGCATGGCCATGCGGGCAATTTATCTTTCACTATGAACCAATTCCATAATACTCCCCATGCTGATCATGACACCTCCCCTGCCACTTTTCTCTTGTCAATTCCCATATTTAAAGACGGAAGACTCGCTAGCAAAGCAAAAGGCTTTGATGTGGTTGATGGAAGGTTCTTCCTGGCGGACATCAGTGTTATAATTGACTACGGGGCTTGTGATGGCACTGTCAGTGCGATTTTTTTTTGGTAACAAGGACCGTCATTGCACGCTACCATCGCAAGAGCCATCCAGGAATTTTACCAGACTAAGTTCCTTGGTTCAACTCAACGAGCGCTACATGGACAAGGTCATCAAGCCCGGACCTCCACTCAACAGACTTGGCCAGCAAAAGACCATTGGGGATCTTTCTTCGCGCTTGAGAACATACTATGGCGCTTTACAGTAGATTCAATGTGTTCATCTTTCCATGCCTGGCGGTGTATCTCACATTGCTTATCAATCATAATTGTATGATTGAATGGTTCTTTGAGTCGAACAATTTATATTTCAAGTAGCAAAGGTCTGCGACCTTATTGCAAGATTTATGTCAAATACATCTAACAAAATCGCGCTACCCAATTACAATTCAAGTGATCTAGCTCTGTATCTCCTTTCTTTTTGTAAGAGCTTCTGGTAGAAACCTTCAGCGTGTAATATGAGCTCCGCTGCTACCCCATACGGTATACCCCACGCATACATCTGTTGAGGTGTGATGAGGTCGGGGAAAAGAAAGATGAGGAAACTGGTGATTGATTGGCCAGAGAGAATACGGAGAACTCTGGCTCTCTCCATCGTAGACAGGCCAGTAAAAATCAAGTACTCTCGGAGGGGCGTCCCTACAAAACGTCGGACTGCTGCGTATGAGATATTGCGACGCCGGAATTGATCAGTTTCGTCTTTGGCCAAAGCTGGAACGAAATGCAAATGTTTTCAGTGTTAGAGAGGACTAAGCTGAGTCAAAAGAAAGACCTTACCATCTGCAGCTTCATGGTCACGATCGTGACCGGGATGTGGGTCAAACATCACAGGCGCCAAGATCGCGTGTGTGGGAGTGGCGTACGAATTGGGGATCACCGTGTCGTCCATTTCAGCTATAGGAAGGGGATTGTGAGTCGAATCCACGGTATTTTGTTGGCTGTCTGGGTCATTCGCCACGTCACTAAAGTATTTGAGCAGCAATCCATGAGCTATCTGGGTTCAATCTCGGAATTGGATGACCACTGACCTTTGGCCAGGTAATGGGCTTTGAGACATTTCGACTGTAGGCTGGTTTGATGTTCGGAGAGCGTGCTGAAGATATTTCAAATATCTTCAGCACCACGTATTTATATAAAGTCCATTTTGCCTTTTTTTGGCCCTAATCTTGTCTGAGAGTGGAATAGGTCAAATTCATTGGACCTTGCCTCCAATGATCTCACGATGGGGCACTTGAACATCAACCATCCAGACCTCTTCATTTCAATCGCCAAGTATGGCACCTAGTGCATTCGGTGAGGTTTCTCTGAAGTTATTTGGCTTCACATTCTAATTGTCATTCCCAATCAGGCGACCTCCTCAACCCCCAGCCCGGTATGAATAATGCCACTGGAGGGTCTGAAACACCTTCCAGTGGCATTTCGTTACATGGTCTCAACAATCATGAGGAGTTGAGAACTCCTCAAAGTGAGTTCTAATCCAACCTCCGTATCTCAAGGACATGAGGTCATCATATTTAATCGGGTCGAAAGCAGATGACCGTCGGGCTTCTTCGCAACGTGTGGACCGGCCTAATCCAGGTACTAACAGTGGAGCTTCAGTAACTGGATCTGTTGCTCGTCGTCGTCACAAGGCCAAGGCTTTGACCACGGCGGCAGGTAAGGGACCTGCCGATAGCAACTCCTCACCTCCGCGGCAGCCGGCCGATAGCCTTAAACGTCGGCAAAGCCCATCACCGTTCCAGTCGCAGCCTGCGGCCAAGCATGCAAAATCCCTCGTCTCAGCATCCGAAGAAGTCCCATCAGATAACTTCAACTCGTCAGGTATCTCCCACCCGAACGGAGCAGGAGGTCAACCTGGTGACAATTTCCAACTCCTCACCCCGGCCGAACGCGCGTTTATTGATGGCATCACATCCTCCGCTGGGCTTAGTAATAGGCATGCTGAGTATGCTCGGGAAATGGGAGAGGTCAATGTGTATCTCCTTGTATCAAGATGATGTCCAATGATGTTGACGGTTTAAATTTGTAGGTATTTGGCGATGACTTTTGCCATTTGGCTCTTTGTGGCAATGTTGCCTGCACTCAATCGCAGCTTTCTAATCTCAGCGACCAGGTGTCACAAATGGCCCAACAAATGGAAACGCTCCACGGGGATATCACCAACAAATTCAGAATCCTCATGGCCAATGTGAGTGATCTCACTGACGTGGTTCAGACTAGAAACGCCAGTCAAGGTATCCCTTCCACATCGGCAAACACTGCCTCTACTGAAGTCGCTCGCACGGCCGTGGTATCCGAGTGGAAGGTATCACGACAGCTGAAAGTAAGAATGTCCCAGGTTGATTCTTATGCAAAGCACTGACATGCTCATCTCAATGCAGGCCCTTCTGAGCGAAGTATCAGTTGAATTGATGCCCAAAGCCAATCTTCAGTCTTACACTGAGCTCGAGGATGGAAGCAAGAACTTTCTTCAAAGATCACTTTTTAATCGCGTGAGAGTGAGTGAATGATAGTGGATGATATAAATTACAGTAACCTGATCACTTTCTCTCTGGGACACGGTAGGTGCGTGTGGCGGAGGAACAAAAAGAAGATTGGATTGCTTTACATCTTCCCAAGCAAATCCGCGGAGTTAATGATGGCGAAGGTGTCAAGAAGTACGCTACTGCCATCAAGGACGCAGGCAAGCACGCCTGAGAAAAGATGCACCTATTGGTCAGTGCCTCGTCAAGTGACCTTAATGGAGACGCTGACATTACACAAGATCCAGTTATTAACCAATGTCCACAACCAGAAGAACGGTCCGGTGAAAGTTGTTCCAGTGCCTTCTCTCATGGCGTTGTGGCATCGGGTAAGCGTCAAGTCACACCTACCCTCTGGACGAGCCTACTGACATGTCACATTTGTCTAGATTGCGCTCAAATGTGGCCTCATCACCGAGTCTGTGGATCAAATCGCCGCTTGGAGCTCAGTCAACGAGGCGACTCGAGGCAGGATTGCTTACCTGGTGAGTCATGAAATCATGTCATGGAGACGGTGATATAATCACCTGGGCTAATGACTATGGTTTTGTCCTGTAGAGACGCGAGGCGACCCGTCTTCGACAAACCCCTTCTGGTTCAAATATATGGGCCGAGGTGGACCAACGGCTTGATGATCCACGTGAAAAAGAAAAGGAGGTACCGGACTACACCACATCGTAAGTCATTTTGAGCAGGGTCTCCTGGTTCATGCGTTCATTGGTGTGATTGCTCACCAAATGTGGCTGGGTAGCTTCTATGACATTATATATCAGAATGATCAAGAGATCTTCAACGGCAAGAGGGGTTGGGGTGAGATCCGGAAGAACTACGCGCTGGCATTACCAACGGACGCGGAAATCATGGAGGGGATTTCTGGCGGAGGCGTCGAAGGTGCCAAAGCACTAGGAAATGCGGCAGATGACGAAGTGTTAGGCGACCAAGGGGAAACCTCGGTATGATTGCAATGTCACCTACTTTGGTAATAAGGTTTATTTGGGGTCCAGCGCTGTCGCACTATCACGGCATTGGGTGCCATTCAATATATATTTGTTCTTCTTTTATTCCACTGTTGTTCTTCCCTCGCATCGTGTATTGCCGCAATGAAAAGAACGTATTGATTTTCCCGCTACGATATTTGGAGTACCGCGAGTATATTTCCAATGATGTATCCGTCGTCCGGGGCAGGTCATTCCTGGTGACCCGAATTTTGTGCGGGCTTGTTTATCACCAGCCTGGTCCACCATTTATTGCAGGAGCCCGTGACAGATATCCCATTTTTGAGTACCGTGGCCGGGCTTTTGTGGCACGGTCAGATCATTCTCAGGCGTGCTGCAGGCGGCCTGAAGCCAGCGCTTCAGCAGAGCTTCCCGGCCTGGGTACAAGCGTTTCACGCTCTGAGTACAAGACTTTGGCGGCCGAAGTACGAGACTTTGGCGGCCTGGGGACAGTTTGACTTAGGCGGCCTGACATCCGTCCGCGTGGGGCCTACTTTGAGATTGCCCAGCCTCTGCAAGGATGGGCGGTCTGGAGGCAGTCCACCCAGGCGGCCCACCGGCCGCCCGTGCCTACCCGTGGTGTAGATTTCAAAAAGGTTGAAATCGTGAAATTTTTAAAATCAACTCGTGAACCGTACGGCAGGCAGTAAAGTTGAGATTAATCTTGACATCTGTCAAACTTACAGGCCGGATCTTATAAAAATATTTACATATTCCTGATGAGCGTCTGGTCTGATACCAAACATACTAAGGACCAGGCGCAGTTCGGCCCGAAACCTGCGCGTTGTTGCTAACTTTTCCAGTTCAAGACTAGATTTTGACTTTGAGATTGGCAAGGATCAGCCAAAGCTCCATGTAGAGCGCAAGTGACATGCAGAAGGATGTCACTCGCTGACCTATCTAAAACCATGCTCAATGTTCTTGATGTTACAATGGATAGACTGGTGAATGCTGAGCTTGATGGTGATATTTTAATCATCCCGATCCCTACTTATCAATGTTGTTAATAGCCAACGCATGAAATTTGATTGAAGCAGATATTTCCGATTATAGATAGATATGGCTTCAGAACTAATTATACCTGAGGAAGGAAGAAAGGATGAATTATAGGTGTCCACTGCAGACATTATTCGGGTTCCCCAAGTGGGCAGGGAAAAATGATTGGGAGTATGATTTGTCATAAAATGGTCTATCACTCCACACCTGAGCCATAACACCCACACTACATATGTGTAGCAGGCTCAGTGAATATGTGGTTATCATGTACATACAGTTCTGCTCAGTTATCTGCTCATCAGGACAAGTTATTCATATGTAATACATGCTGTAACTTCTTTCAGATTGAAAAAAGCTTCCAAAAGATTGACTACATACACTGACTCAATGTTTTGGTGTGATCTCATCAACTCAACTGCATGTAACACACTTTCTGTTACTAAGACATAGCTTCAACAATATTGCCTGAGCAGCTACAGAATTATATGTAGTGAATTTTTGGGAAAAAAAATTCAAAGTTGAAAAAGTTACATGTGGTATAACATGTGATTTATTTATTCTGATGGGCAAAAAACTGAGCAGACCTGTATGTACATGATAGACAACTATTGACTTAGCTTGCTGCACATATGTAGTGTGGGTGAAATGGCCCAGGTGTGCAGTATTAGATTCTTTTATGAAAAACTGTACTATTAATCATTTTCCTCTGCCAAATTGGGGAAGTTGAATGATGTTTACAGTGTGTCCTTATATTCCATAAGCACACCTTTCACAGAACTCCCCTTGCCTCTGGTGATGGATGTACTTCCAAAACCCATAGATCTTCTTTCTCATTTGAGCTTAAAAAGCCTGTGAAAATCATCCTTGAGGGAAAGATGCACAGGTTGCATCACTATCAAATGTGCCAAAATCATATTCTTAGAGTCAAAAAAGATCAAATAGCAACGCATTCGTGAGCTCCATTTTTAGGACCTCACGAATGTGTTGCAATGGAGCAAAGAGCAACTGAATTAGAGAACTGATTTACATCAGTTCCTTGCAATAGAAGTATGTTTGATCACAAGCCTCACTGAAACCATGTGAGGCTTGAAGATAAAAAATCATATATCTTGCCTAAACAACGTTTGAAAGTGCTTTATAAGCCACTTTTGAAAAAATTGCTTGAAAACCCGGTTAAAACGAGCCTACTAACAATACTCCTTTCACGGCGACGACCTCACTTCCACGCCTGGTCCTTACTGATTGGCACTACAGCCGTTGTGAGAACTATTGGTAAGTTTTGAGGTGATGGGTGTCGCCAAGTTTTAACTAGAGTTTAATCTTTGGTCCAAAACTCAGTTTTTTTTGATCTCACAGGCCTAAGCCTTGTTTTGGCTCCTGCAATATGCTTCTATCTCACAGTACCCATGGTCTAAAAGGGGTTGATTCTAGTTTTTACAAGTTTTGAATTAAATCTCGACAGAACACAAAATAAAAAAAAATACCGTTAGTTCTCACAACGGCTGTAAATCAATTTGGCATAGAGGTTTGCACGAGTCTTGAGGCTCGTGCTGGGCCCATTATAAAGTGGAAACTGGGGTTTGACTCGGCTTCTTCTTTTGTCTTTTGTTCCATATTTCTTGTTTCACAAGTCTCTTTTTTTGCTTGTTGGCATGAAAAATAAGACACTGAGAACGAGACAGACGTGTTAATCAGACTTTTGGTGTTAGTTGAAATGTGAACTAACAACCTTTTAACAAAAAAATTACACTACAAATCTGAAAGAAGACGAGTCGCACACCAACTCAAACATGTCAAGCTAACCCAGCGTAACCGTCATGAAAGAGGCAGCTTGAACCATTGGGACACTGTGGCTTGAAGAACCCAAGAAAATTATATATTTGAAGACAAGTTTATCGCAGTGAGCTTCTGTATATCAGGGGATCTGGCATGTAAGTTTGGCAGATGTCGTGATTAATCTCAACTTTACTGCCGGCCGCAGCCTGCCGTACGGCTCACGAGTCGATTTAAAAAATTTCTTGATTTCAACCTTTTTGAAATCTACTGTACACTACAGAAATAATCTGATTTTCCGTGGGGATTTTTGATTTCCCATTTGCGGAAAATCACGTGACTTTTTTACATCATGTACATATGTCACACAGTTTGAGGCACTGTACACCCCTGTACACACCCACACCCGCACACCAGTGTACAGACGCTGCACGGCTGCAGCGCCTGTACACCAACAAAAACGGTCAACGCTGACCAACGTTTCCAACCATAGACAAACTGATCCCTTTGTCTGAAACCACCACAAACCCTGGTCTCTTCCCCTGAAACCAACACGAACATCGTAGCCTCGCCGTCAACCATTACGCACACGGTCCCTCTACCTGAAACAATTACTAACCACCGTCTCTATCACCCCCGTCGACGGCGTCATACCTCTTTCAAACAGTGAATCACTGAGCAGCGCTGTAAGAATACAGTTAAAATTTCAAACACGCCAACCAACACGGTACAATTCAACCGGTACAATACATGACCTAATACAGAACATCAAACCTAACTTTATTTATCATCATAGTATCACATATAAATAGAAACTAATGCCTCATACCACGCCACGTTTTCCTTATCAGTTCACTGAGGAAAACTGGCGTGTGAGTCCTTTCTTCTCACTTCATACTCAAATCATAACTGTTGTTGATTGCTTTTCTATTATAAACATGTTATTAGACCTCTTGTTTTTATTCCATCTCACCTATTTAGGTGTGTTATCATTCTTGTCTTCGGTGTTCAGAACCGTGTAGACCCACACCTGATTTCTGGTGTTAAAGGTTAGATATCTTACTATATGAAATATAATCTTATCAGTTCACTGAGGAAAACTGGCGTACCTCTTGTTTTTATTCCATCTCACCTATTTAGGTGTGTTATCATTCTTGTCTTTGGTGTTCAGAACCGTGTAGACCCACACCTGATTTCTGGTGTTAAAGACCTCCTTTATAAGGAGTCTCGAGTTTCTTTAGATTCTCTCATGGTAGCGAGAGAATAACTCGACTCATAACCATCGTATATGTCCTCACCAATTGACGCACCTTCACCGACTAATTCTTCTGCCGATCCCACCGACGATCTCCAAACTGTTCTTGATAATCAAGAATTGAATTCAACGAGCCCTTCCGAAAAATCTTTCAATTCAAACCATACTGTTCAAAACAAATCATCTGCCATCATGAATAATCCATCCAGTCAAATTACGCCAACTACTCAAAAAGAATTTGCCATTGCCTTAAATTTTAACTTAAGTAAAATATCAGCCACCGTCATTCTGGGAAAGAATAACTATACTCATTGGGCTATTGGAATTAAGCGATCTTTGAGAAATCTATGCCTTGACCAATACCTTACCTCACCTAACCAACCTGACGACATAACTATTGAAGAACATCTCGCTAACAAAGAATGTCTTACGAACTTCTTAATCAATCGCATGGATCCTCCAACTTCAGCTTTCGTTGAATCCAAACTTCAAATTAAAGTCGATGGTGAAGTAGATATTGAATACGAACCTTCAAAATTATGGAAGATCATTAGAGAAAACAAAGCTCCCGTATCTGAAGCCGCACGATTTCAACTTGACAATGAATTAGATGAATTTCGTCAAGATAATCGCACGACTTTAGAAGCTCACCTGGCGAAATTCAGAGAGTTGAAAGCACTGTGCAGATGTAGTATTTTTCCACCATGCAAAATGATTAAAATTAATGTCAAAATGATTAAAAATGCTGTGTTAATGCATAAAAATGCACTATTAATGCACCATTCATGTGGAAAAATGCAGCATCAATGCAGTAAAATGCAGTGTTAATGCACACACAAAATGATTCAG